CCCCCTGCCCCCCGGCCCCGCGCCCATGGCCGCGCTGGGACCCCGCGCCTTATGGGCTGCGCTTTGCGGCGGCTGCTGCTGCCTCCTCCTGTGCGCCCAGCTCGCGGTGGCTGGTAACGCGGGGCCTGGGTTTAGTTAGGCGCGCTGACAGGGGCTGGTGGAGCAAGCCCTTCCCGCAGCAGCCGTCGGAAGCAGTCTGGGCCGAGGGGTGGGACGGGACTCCCCAGACGCGTGCAGGGTTGCGGGCTGCCGGGCTGGGCGGGAGGGCGCTCTAGCGGTGTGCGGAGCCTTTGTAGGTAGAGAGGCCCCAGGTGGGGGTCGTTAGGGAGCGTCAAGTGTTTGGAAGTGAAGGGCCGCAGGTGTGTCAGTGGAGGCGGCTTCAGATGTTTCTGGAAACTCCCGGTATGTGCAAGGGAGAGGGCTCTGAGTGAACGTGGGGGGTTTCAGGGTGCATGTAACTAAGTCTGGGGAACTCCAGCCGTGTAGTGGGGCTTAGGGAGTGCAGGTGAATGTATCTGCCAGAGAGCTGCAGTAGTGGGAAAGGGCCTGCGACTGGGGTTCAAGGCGCTCCTCCCACCCCACCCCACTCCCAGGCAAAGGAGCTCGAGGCTTTGGGCGGGGAGCCCTGCTCCGAGTGAACATCTGGCCAGCTGCCCAGGGGGCCTGCAAACATCTGAAACTCTGTGAGCATTGTGTGGAGGGGGACAGAGCACGCAATCTCACTGGCTGTGTGTGGGAGCAATGTCAGCCAGATGAGCCAGGTATGGGCTTGAGCTCTCCCCAGGTTGAACGCCCGGGTTCTGAACCTCAGGGCCTTGGCTCATCTTCCCCAAACTTTTCCCCAAACCTTCTCCCCGCAGGACACTGTGTGACCCAGGCAGAGGTGGCCAAGGAAGGTTGCTCTGTCTACAACCACTCCGAGTCCTGTCCAGGTAAGGGGGCTCCGTTTGGCCTATGCCAAGTCAGAGGGAGGGGTCTGCAGTGTCCCAAGCCACAGCCTGCCCCCGGGAAGGGATCAGCCTTTCTCAGACAGCAGTCTGCCCACAGCACAGCCTCCAGTTTCAGCTCAGCCTTTAGCTTAGTGAGGCCTTTCCCCTCAATCAGCTGTGAATTGGTACAGCCTGGGGACCAGACAGGCTACGGCTGCGGACAGGGGATTTAGCTCTTCTCGTTTAAAGTGGAGTGAGGCCTGTGAAGGTCTGACGGGAATACCGGGAGGGCTTCCTGGAGGAGGTGGTGTCAGCAACGACTCAAGGTAGATGTGGAGCGTACACATGTGGTGGAAGGAACTGTGGGAACCAAGGCTTGAAAGAATGTCGGAGGAACTTGGATCTGGGACAGGGGGCCTCAGCTGGACCCCAAAAGTCCAGCTGTTGGCCTGAGCTGGGTTTCGGTGGACGGGGGGTAGGAAAACTGCTATGGATTCCCTTTTTTTCTCTTCAGCTGCCCACCACCATCCCACACATGGACCCAAGGCGGCCACAACTGGTAAGTGCACCCTGGAGGACGGGGTGGTGGGCGCTCCCAAGGTGCAGGGGAGGCAGATCGGGCTCAGGCGCTGCTGGTGTGCCCTGTGCCTCCCTCTGACCTGTTTCCACATCTGCAAGATGGAGACTGCCAGACGCTCCTGCTCTGAGGGTTTTATAAGCGCGTCTGCAGAGCCTAGTTGAGTGCCTGGCGCATAGAAGGCGTTCAAGAAAGTCCCCATCCCTTCTCCCTAACACCAGTTCTGGAAACTCAGGGTGACCCTTCAGGACCTGCCCTGGGCGTGGAAGGGGTTTGGCTCAAGTTGCCGATGAACCATCCTCGGTGAGGACCCAGCTGTTGCAGCCTCCAGGCCCAGGAGTGGGTCACAGAGCTGGCTCCCGGCAGAGCGGAGCCGAGAACCCAGCCCCTGGCTCCTGCGGCCTCTCAGGACTGCAGGTCACAGGCTTGGCAGGACGGCTGAAGAGGCTCTTAGTTAATTAAAGCCAGAAACGTGATCTTGGGGCTGAATTATTGATGGCTCAGCTCCCCGGCTCAGCCCCAGATCAGTCTTGTGCAGCTCATGTCTTCCCTTGTCCGCCCCTCTTTCCCCAGTGCCCCCCTGGGGCTCCTGGAGCTGCAGCCGGGGCTACCTTTGCCCTCATGTACCCACACCCCCTCACACAACCCGCACCCTCTGGGCCACAGAGCCAGCACCCGCCAGGCGCCTGTCCTCTGCCCCAGAAAGTCTGTGCACCCGCAGCCCTGCCCACCCTGGGCACCTGGCCCGGACCTGAAATCAATCCCTGGAGGGAGTTGATGGCTAACTTGGCTCAGCTGGGAGCCACCCAGCACAGCCTAGTGATCGTGGGTCCTGCGGCTGGGCAGGGGATATGGTCGGTCGGGGACGCCTGGTTCTGTTCCCTAAGGTGACTTTGGCCAGCCCGGCCCTCAGGGCCCAGTTTATCCTTCTGACACATGTCACCCAAGGCTGAAAGGGACACTGAGCTAAAGGGGCAGGATGCCTGAGTTTGGGGCCCTCCTAATCCATGGGCCAGTGCAGGACCTGGGCTGGGAGGGAGCTCAGTGACCACTGGTGCATGTGGTGAGGAGGCCCAGGGAGGGTGTGAGAGGCCTCAAGCCCCAGAGCAGCTCAGGAGCCAAGGCCCCCTCCAGTGTGACCGGGCACGTCCCAAGTTCGAGGCACCTGCAGTGAGGCCTGGAGCGGCTGGTTCTTGGAGTGAGGCTGGGGATCCTGGCCCCCCGCAGCTGCTCTGACCTTGCCCTGCCTCTCCCCTGCAGGCGGCCCCCTAGTTCCTGAGGCTCACAGCCCTGGTTTTGACGGGGCCAGCTTCACTGGGGGGGCCGTGCTGGTGCTGAGCCTGCAGGCAGTGGCCTTCTTCGCGCTGCGCTTCCTCAGGGCTAAGGACAGCACCTACCAGACCCTGTGAGTACCCGGCCTGCCGGCCCGGCTCTCCTCCTCCTGCCCGCGGGTCCCCATTCGTGCCCGGGCCCTGTCTTCCCAAGGGGGCCGTGACTCTGTCCAGGTACCCTCCGTGTGCACCACACCCCTGCTCCCTCCTATAGTTATGGGGTTCTCTCTGCTAGGTGTGGGCTGGGGCGAGGACTCGGTCTGGGCGTGGTGTCCGGGAGCCCCACTGAGCCCACCTGTCTTTGTCTCCTCATGCTGCCGGCAGGGAGGAGACCCAGTAGGTGACAGCCCAGGCGAGCCCCCGGCCTGCAGCCGTGGGCTGTGGGCCGTGGGCCGGAGCTTGGGCCGTGTGTGCAGTTTGGTTTCCTCCGGGCAGGGGAGCTGCTCTGAGCTCCGCGTGCTGTGTGTGCTGGGGGCGGGCGGCACAGCCTTGGCCAAGTGTTTGCTCTTCTAGCCACTGCCTGCTGGCTGGGGTTCTAGGCCTGCCCGAGGGGGCCACGCCCTGAGCGCCCTCTTTGTCTGGCCTCTGCAGAATCTGACCCGCTTTGGGCCTGGATTCCACACTGAGGGGAAGGAGGATGAAGAGGCTGCCTCTTGGCTCCCTTGTGGGCACTGGGGGTGGGAAAACCTTTGGCTACCAAGTTTTGGCCTCCGTGGGCACCAAGCAGTCTCAGCACCCCATACCTGACCTCCCCTCCCAGCTTGGGCCTGGTACCTGCAGCTGAGCACACCCCTCGACCGCCTCTAGGCTCACCTGTCACCCCTGAGGCTCCCTGCAGCTGTTGGGCGCTGTTCCCACCTCTTCCCCCCTGGGCTGGGCACCGTCCCCAAATAAAGGAGCTCTTTCCAGCACCGTGCTTTATGTCCCGTGTCTTGGGGTGGGTGGGGTGTGTGGGGTGGGGGGTGGCCACTCCACTGTCCTCCTCTTCACGGGACTTCAGCTTTGAACTGTCCCCTTCGACACGCCTGAGCCCACGCCACCCCTTTCTGACGAGGGCCACAGACTCGGAGAGCCAAGCAGCCGTGGTCAGGCCTGTGGTGGCACCTGGCCGGGCTGGGACTGGAGCGCAGGCTTCTCTGACTCAGACCTCCCCTACAGAGGCATCTGCGCAACTTGGCTCCTCGGGTTGGCTCTTGGCCCGATCGCCGAGGTGGAGAGGCCTCTCGGACCTCAGACAGTCCTCGCCTTCCTCCGCAGGCCTCCCGGAAGGCCTGCCCACACCCACCTCGGGCCTCGCCCCATCCCTGGTACAGAAATCTTCCTGAGCAGTAACATCTGTCCCTTGCTGGGGCCCTGGCTGAGGAGCAGGCGTAAGAGTCCACGTGACCTGAAGGGGCCAGCGGGCTGGTGTGGAGCAGAGACGGTTGAGGCCAGTCGCTGGAGCCCAGCTGCTCCATCAACTGAGCAAGTCACGGCCCAGTGGCGGGGCTCAGTGTCCTGTGGCAGGGAGGTGGTGATAACCGCCAGCTCCCTCTCAGTGGGATGTGGGGGCTCGGGTCAGGTGCGGGCACCCTGTCCACCCTCCGGCTGCACAGCCTGCCGTCCACCTTCCGCGCCTCTTCCGCCCCAGCCCTACCTCCCTGTGGGTGCACACTCCCCTTCATCCAAGCACCCACCTCGGATGCTGTCCTCCCCAGCCAGTACCCCTGCAGCCGCCGGATCTGGCCCTGCCCCCAGCCTGCCTCCTCGCTCTCCTTCAGGCCTTACGCTGCGGCTTCTCTTGCCTGGACCACCTCTCCTGGCTCCTCCAACCAGCTCTTCAGTGCTGGCAGGAATAATGCCCGCTCCCTCTGGGACTGAGGGGGACCCCCCTCCTCCTGCTGGCTTCCCACTCCCTTAAGGAAATTTCTTTGTGGGATGTTGTTCTTTTTTCAAAAGCAGTAAGTGTAAGCAAAAAAGGACTGTGCGGAAGTTTATGTAAAGAGAGGAGTCACTCCTCTCCTCTCCGGTCCTATTTTTGGACCAGAAATGACTGGCACTAAGTTTCATACCTTTTGCTGGGAATATGCACCATCCACGGACACAGTTTTGTAGACTGTAGACTAGGGTGGGACCAGGGTGTCGCTCTATATATCTGCATAGAGTTCTGCAAGTTGGTCCTTCGATGACAGATGAGCTGTGCCCCGTGGCTTGTCCAGGCAGTAAGGGTTTCCTTGCCGGAATCCGTCAACATCTACTTAGATCTCTTCCGTGTTGATTATCGTAACCGAATCACGATAAACTGGTCGGCCTGCGGCTCTCGGCTTACCTGCGGGAGAGCTTGGGGAGGCCGGTTCTGGAATCCCGGAGCTCCCATCTCACAGGTCTGTCTGGCAAACTCCCCTCCGCCTTAGCCTCAGTGCTCCCCAGCCCCAGCACTGGACCTGGCCCAGCAGGGGGCCTCAGGAGGGCTGGACTGAGGGCCTGAGGGAACGAAGGAGGGAGAGAACAAGGAGATGCGCCCTCCCTCCCTGGCCCTCCCACGGGAAGCCCCTCTCCAGCTCAGACCTCACCCTCCCGTCTGGACCAAGGCTGCTGCCCGCTCCCTGGCCTCCAGCTTCCAGGTCTGCCTGCTTGCCCGTCACTGGCAGCTGTTTCCTGGGCTCTGCTGGGGGCTCGCTGAGGAATTTGAGGTTGGACATGAAGCACTTTGCTAAGAATGCTTCTTTCTGGCAGGGGGCGTAGGACTTGGGCAAAAGCCGTGTTTCTGGGCATGGTGCCATGTCTCCTTCTGGGCCTCAGTTTCTCCTTGCTTATTCATCCTTGCAAGCAACCTACAAGTACTTGCTTTGTTCCAGGTCTGTAACCCGGGGCCATCACAACTCTGAGCAGGGCTGCGTGAGGGTGGGAAGCGACAGACAAGCCACAGCCTGCATGCTGTTGACAGGCAGGATGAGCTCCTAGTGGTGGCGTTAGTGCCGGACCTTTGTGGGCAGCTGGTGGTCAAGGTAGCGAGGAAGAGAAGGCCATTCGGATGGAAGGCACAGCACGAGCCCGGGCTCAGGGCAGGGAGACGCAGTGTGAGTGCACAGGAGCCCAGGGCGCCTGCAGGCCAGAGCCAGAGCTTCCTCTCCGTCTTGGGTGGGCGAGGCAAAGATAATGCCCGTTTTGTTGGGGTTGAGGGAGAAAATGCCCACCTCGTGCTGGCTCCAGACCGGGTGGGTGTACGTGGGGAGGAAGGAAGTCTTGCTCCTTGTCCTGGCAGCCTGGGCTCTTGAATAGATGGACCAACTGTGCACTGTACACGCCCTTTGCTCCTCTGCTTGGGGCGTCTACCTGCCGGTGACCCAGGAGCACCTCAGCTGCCCAGGTAGTGGTCTAGGGTGCCCTCCCTACTGACTGCCCCCGCCCCAGGTGTTCCCTCACCCAGGCTCACTAGCTGTAGGAGTGGTTTAATCATCTGGGCTCTGCTGTAAATAGATGCAAATAGATGCAAATGATCTATTGCCAGCTCCAGAGATGTCTGGGAGACGGAGAGGAATGCAGAGGGGCCTGGGAGAGACATGCCCAGTCTTCCTTGCCCACCCTGTGTCCACCTGGGGAGCTGGGGGCACAGCAGTTACTGGCTGAGTGAGAAGCCCTGACAAGGGGCAAGGTGCCTGCTGTGCAGCTGTGGGTCAGCGCTCAGCGCCCTGAGCCAAGGGACTTCATGCCCATCCTCAGCTCCAAGCAGGGTCCGAGGCCCAGAAACAGCTGCTGATACAGCCAGTCACAGCCGCCTGCCCGAGGCGGGAGGTCGATGCTGGGAGGCCGGGTAGGTGCCTCGCTCCCATTTTGCTGAGGGGGAAGGTGAGACTGGAGAGGACTCGTCATCACCTGCCCACGGCCAAAGCCAGGAAGGGCACCGCGGGGACTCCACGCCTGGGTCCAAATCCCTCTGTGCTTTTTGGCCCTGGGCTTGGGGTGGGGATTCAGGCATCTGTGCCTCTGGGATTGATTTCAGGGCCACTTGGACCACCAGCAAGGTGGGCCCCAAGAGAGGTCCTGATGAGAGTGCCTGGGTCTGCTCCTGGGGTGGAGGGGTCTCTGCTCCCTGATGCTGGAAGTCAGCTACGTGACCCCCCACAGTGGGCTGGAGGCCAGGAGACCGTTAGGAGGAGGGACACGCCCCCTTCAGGAGGTTCACGGCATTGCCTTGGGCTGCTCAGACCTCAGCACCAACATTCCAGCTTTGGGGGGGAGGGGAGCCAGGAGACTGGGGAACGCAGCCGCAGGAGGCCCAGGCAGTGGTGGGCCTTGGTGAATCACCAGCCATGGCCCAGCCCTCCTGAGGGGCGCAGAGGGGTGAGAGGTCTCCGGGGGTCCCACCCCGGGCCTGTTAGATTCCCCATAAGGTGGGGGTTGATGAGTAATTTAGGGTCCCTGAGTTTACCTCCCAATCCCCAGCCCCCCCAGGAGCAGAGCCAGGGTGCCACCTTCAGGCCGGAGCCTCCTGTGCCCACCCGGGCAGGATCCTCCCAGTCTTTCGTGCCATGGAAACCGTGCAGAGTGGCTGGCTGGCCTCAGGAAGGGACTTCAGGCCAGGCCCGGGGCACTGTTGCTAACCCACCGAGGGGTGCGCTGAGCACTACCTTCGCCCAAACATAGGAGATTGGAGATGCAAGAGAATGAAGTCTGGAGCCCGAAGTCTGTTTACTAGGACCGCCCATGGGTATATATAGGGTCTGTTGGTGCAGGGAAAAACAGGAAATGTGCCCGATGCAAAATGTGCCCGATGCAAAGGGTGCCTGATGCAAAGGGTGGGGTGCATGTTTGTAGGGGGCCTGGGGCTTCTTGTAGCTTCTACTTGAAACAAAGAAGTGGGTTGCAGCTATTTGCAGGGCAGAGTGCACTGTGCTCTGCTGCCTTGTTTGCTGGCCTTACTGGGGAGTGCGCTCCCCCAGGCACAGCATAGCCAGGGCCCACGGGTGCTCTAGAGGCCCTGCAGTTAGCCACGGGGCACTTCTTCCCTTGGCCCTTGGTGGGAGCCAGGGCCCTCCAGAGCCTCCAGAGCCCACGCTAAAGGCTTAGCGTAATGGCTGCAAGTGTCTGGGGCTCCCAGAGGGCCTGAAGAAGCGCCAGCCGGCTTCACACAGGAGGTGCTATTGGAAAAGGCCTTGAAGGCTGTGTAGAAGTTCTCTAGACAGATGAGAAAGACTGAGGCAGGGAAGCAGGGGAGTACATGTGGGGTTGGGGGGCGCTGTGAGTGGGGGTGAGCTGAGGGCAGGTGTGTGGACCTGAGGTTCAGTAGTGTGGGTCAAGCCTGCATTAGGGTGTCTACGGAAGACACTGAATGGGGGAGCATGGTGGGTGATGGGGAGCCCAGGGAGACTTAGGCAGAGGAGGGATAAGACTGTTTTCAAAAGAAGACGCGAGCTCCCCTGTGGGAGATGCATGGCAGTGGGGGGAGAGCGGCGTTCGGGCATGGGACAGCGGGGCGGGAGAAGACGCTGGGCACTGGTAGCAATGGAAATAGAGGCGCTTAGACTGAATTTAGGGGAGCCATTCCACAGGGGCTGGGGATGGCTTGGCTGAAGGAAGAAGTAGGGGGTCGGGGTGGCATCAGAACGTGGCCCCAAGTTCAGCTTGGGCCAGTGGAGCTGACCTCCTGCTCTGATAGCTCAGTTCTTGGCATAATGAATTGAAGCAGTTTGTTTTGAATGTGACTCCCAGGATGGGGATGACATTTCTGTGATTTCAGTCTCCCCTGGTTTGCAAGGTTTGGGTGTGAAGTTGAATGTCAGTAAAAGTGAATAAGGTCATGCAGTTCATCAGCATCTCACAGGCTAACCTCACGTGAACCCATACTTATTAACAGGCTCTCAGTCCAAAGAGGGGGTGCCCCACCCCTCACAACACACCCACCCTCTGCTGCTACCACCCCACTTTGCCTCGTCCCACTCCCAGCCTGGAACAGTGGTTGGCCACATCTGCCTCCCTAGGTGTTCCAAAGGCGTCAGAACGGCTCCATCGATTTCTGCTTGTGGTCTTCTTACAGAGCAGGTTTTGGGAGCCAGGAGTCAGAATTCTGGCTGGAGATTGAAAATCTGCACCAGCTTACTCTCCAGGGTGAGTTCCTGCAGCCTCCAGGGATCCTGAGGGGCATTGCCCTGGTTTGTAGGGACTGTGCTGAATCCCTACCGGGGACCCAGAGGGTTGGCCCACCTGTCCGCCCATTCCCCCCAGGTACCTGGCAGCTGGGCTGGAGCTGGAAGACTTCAGGGGCAGCACCTCTGCCCACTGTGAGACCTTCCACCTCCTCAGGGAGCAGATGCTGCCAGCTGGTGGTGAGCACTGCAGGTGAGAAGCTCAAGGTGGGTCCTGGAGCAGGGGAAGAGCCAGGGAGGGGGACTGGCTCCTTCCCCGCGCTGCTGTGGCCTCCATGCATGACCAGGGCATGTCATTCCCTTCTGCGAAATAGCAATCCGGAGACAGGGTGGCCCAGGAGTGCAGAATCTGGGCTCTGGAGCAGAGAATTCCGAGTTTAAATCCAGCGCTGTCGCTGTCGTTTACTCTGTGACCTTGGGGATGTCCGTTGTGTGTCAGAGCCTCGCTTTCCGCCCCTGCAGAATGGGCCAGGAGGTTGGGTCCTGTCGATGTGAGCATGACCTGCTTCCGAAGAGGAACCAGGGAAGGTTTTCTTTTTCTCAGAGAAATAATGACTGTTGAGGAGACTTGAAAGAGGGAAGTGGTTACAAGAAGGTGCCTCAGGCAGCCCCTTCCTGCCTGGCATCTGAGAAGCCCTCCTCAGCCCTCACTGGGGGAATTGCGGAGGCTGCTGATGGAGCTGGGGGACACAGAGGTACAGGAGGGCTGGGGCTTCTGGGAGGGGACAAGGCCAGGGAAGGTGAGCGGCTTGGAGCCGCCATTGTGACGAGGGGGCCTCAGTCGAGGGGGCCCAGAAACACCCTGGCCCTTGCCGCGCTGTTTCCTCATGGGCCTGGTCACATGGCCTCACCGTGGCTCTCAGGCCCCTGTGTGCTCATCTTGGCAAGGGTGCCCGCCACCAGGTGCCCCACGCCCTTCCTCACCAGGGGACTCTGAGCTCCTTTACCCCACGACACAGGCAGTGGCAGCTGCGCCCCGACCGTCGGCAGCGCCTGTGGCTCGAGCCTGGTCGGGCCAGTGTCCACAGTGCCGTGTGGGGTCCAGGCTGCTGCCCACATGTGTGGCATTCATGGCGCCTCAGGCCCCTGCGGGGGCCACCCTTACTGCAGGGTTTTCTTTTCTTTTTAAAGATTTATTTACTTATGTGTACAGAACTAGGGTACAGGCCAGAGGTGCAGGGGTAGTGAGAGGCTTCACCAGAGACAGAGTGGGGAGCAGAACAGGCAGATGGACGAAGCACACTGCTGAGGGGAGCAGCGGGCGGGTCAGGAGAGGGCTGCTGCACCCTGTGGGTCACTTCCTGGCTGGGGATCGAACTCACACTGGAGCAGCTGAAACCAGCTTGCGTGCTGCACCCGTTGCGACACTAGGGAGGCCCACCGCAGGGTTCTCATGATGCTTTGCCAGGCGCCTTGTAACCAGCACCCTTATCTCTTCTGTGCAAGCTTCCGAGCACCCCCAATGGGCCTCCCCCATTGCTGCCTCTGCTCTCTGTCCACATTTAAAAATACAGTCTAAAGAAAAGTTAAAAAACAAAACAAAAAAATTAACACACACCCAAGACAAAAAGTCATTTTATCCCTTTTCCTGGCTTGCAAGGTTATTACCAGAAACAACTCCCGAGGGTGAGCAAGACCTGCTCGGTTCCAGGCAGACCTCCCTTCTGCCGTGAAGATGGAAAGGGGGGGCCTCCTGATAGCGAGGTCTCCGTGTCTGAGGTCCAGAGGAGCACTCGGCGAGGGCCTGGAAGGGACCCAGGCGTCCTCTGATGACGAACCCTGGTTTTGCGGTGCTGGGTTTTCTGACGAGGGCACGGCTATCTCGCTCACCCCGCCTCTCCCACATTGCCCATCACCCCCGGGCTCTGCTGTGAAGCAGGGCCTCAGCCTCTGCTACTTCTTGCCTGGCCTTTTAGGGGCTGTTTGAACTCAGGGTCAAACCAAGGGCGGTACACTTTCTCCGGGGGGGGGGGGGCGACAGGGCAGTGACAGCTGCTACTCAACTGGCTTTTACCAAGCAGTTGCCAGATTCGCATTCTAGAAAGATGCAGAGCAATAAATAGTTAAAAGTCTTGACACCTGCCATCGTCTGACAGGTAGTTCTGGGTTTGCGCCCTGCCTTGCCATGTAGCTGGGTGATCTTGAATGAGTTATTCAACCTATCTAAGCCCCCAGTTCCTGATTTCAGGTCGACTGAGGTGACACCAGGTCGCTGCCTCCTTGACTCACACTCAAAGGCTAAGGATTCTTGGGGATTTTGGAGTTGGGAAGCTGTTGTGGTAGTCCAAGGTAAGTCGGGCTCCAAAGTAGATTGGATTGGGGCGAAGTGGGCTCTCTGCCAAAGGGCAGGGCCCAGCTCCCAGGAGCAGAGCAGAGCAGAGCTGGCAGGTGGAGGGCAGACTCCCCCATCCCAGTCCGTCTGCCGGCAGGCCGGGAGAGCAAGCCCTCTCCATTCATTCATTCAGTCGACGGATCCCTGCGCCACCGGGCCTGCAGTTCGCGCTGCTCCCTGGCCAGGCCTGGGCACACACCTCCCAGCTGCCTCCATGGGGGCACTGGCTGTTCCGGAAGCCGCCAGCACTGAGGTTCTGGCGGGAGGGAGGGAGGGGAGAAGGCGAGTCCGGGCCGCCAGGGAGTGGTGCTGCCCCGGGGCCGAGGGTGGAGCTTTCCCAGTCGGCCGGGAAAGGGCTGGGCGCAGTTTACGGGAGAGGACGGCGGCCGCGGTCTCCTGCGGACTCCGAGTGGCGGCTGG